ATTGTTTTTCCTTAGAAAGATTTTTTTCCTTCATGTTTATGGATATATGGTGACTGCTGACAAACATACAACCCAAGAATTACTTTCCAAAGCTGTATCACATGGCTTTTGGATCCACCTTTCTTTGAAAACTATGTTTCTCTGATTAACTTATCTTTGCAAAAGCCTTGCAAGGCTTGTGGGGAAGCTATATACTATAAAAACATTTGAAAGTTATTTAATGGAGACAAGAAAGACAGCCACTTGCTTTTAAGTGATGACCTGAAACACCTTAATAAAATCTATATTATTTAACTGTATATAAAATCTATATTATTTGACTGTAGTTTCATCTGTTTCTAGATCTGTCTGAATAAAAGAAAGTTTATTCTTACATGTCTACCTAAGTCTTCGAAATTATTTTTATTAAACATTTCTTTAGTTGCCCTGTGTGTTTTTGTGTTTTAACTTCAGAATGATTAGATTTATCCTCAAGGAAACCTTTTTATTTTCTAAATACAGGTATTTCACAGATTGTTTATTTTAGAAGAAATACATTAAGATATGAAACATTACTTTCTACAATGTACATTTAATTTCATGATGTTACATCTAAAATACAACGAAAGAAGAAAAACAATTTTGCCAAGGTAACACCTCTCTTGCTTCTACCCCTATCACATACACTAGTCATAGTTCTCAATGGAAGTCTTGCCCCCTAGTGGTTAGGGTTGGCAACAATGTTTACTTTTTTTTTCCAACGTAAATGTTGGGGTGAAATATATACAACATAGAGATTTTGCAGTGTACACATCACAAGATTGAACAACCACTAGTCCTCTTCAGTTTCAAACCTTCATCAAAAAATTTTCAAAACTCTTATTACTCCATAATCTGTTTCCATCCTGCCATTTTCTGACAACCTTTTTTTTTAGGTGTGTGTATGAAATCAGAGCCTGAGAGCTATCCCTAATCTTATATTTTGTTTTGTTTTTAAGAAATTCAATTTAAAAATTCAATTTTATTATTATTATTTTGTTTATGTTATACTGAGGAATTGAACCCAGGGCCTCATACATGCTTGGCAAAGCACTTTACTACTAAGCCACATTTCCAGCCCTTTGGAAAGCCTTTGATCTGCATTCTTTCTATTAATATGCTTACTATCAGTACATAGTATAAAATAAACTAATGTGTTAACTATAGTCTCATGCATCTTTGGCTTACGATAATGCTTCTCAATAGTTGTATACATGCAATTGTAGTGTACATTAGTAATTTTTTTTTTTTTTTGTCTGTCATGGGGCTTGAACTCTGGGCCTGAGTCCTGTCACTCAACTCTTCAGCTCAAGGCTAGCGCTCTACCACTTGAGCCACAGCACCACTTCCGGCTTTTTTTGCTTATGTGGTGCTGAGGAATCGAACCCAGGGCCTCAGGCATGCAAGGCAAGCGCTCTACCACTGAGCCACCTTCCCAGCCCCTCATGTGTGTAATTTGATAAAACTTTCTGAGCTGTTCAAATACAATTCCCTTCCCACCACATATAATCCTAAGAGACAGTCTCTAGTTGCACTGAATTGATATTATTTCCTCAACCATAAGACAAGATACTCCAAAAGCAAATTAACATCTTGTATAAATGATAAAATAATGCCATGAAGGGAAAAGACGTTTTCTGAAGAATCACTCTTTTTCTATTGGACAAGGAAACCTTAACTCATTGATTCTCGACCCTTAGTATTAATCACTTAACATTAAAAGTAGTCTTAAAAGTATTAGATAATTCTGAATGCCAATGGATCATGGTACTTAGGAGGCTGAGAGCTGAGCATTGCAGTCCAAAGCCATCAGAGCAGGAAAGTCTGTGATAGTCTTATTTTTAGTTAACCACCTAAAAAGCTGGAAGTAGATCTGTAAGTTAAATAATAGAGCACTAGTCTTGAGCAAAAAAAAAAAAAAAATCTCAGGGAGAGCATCCAGGACCTGAGTTTAAGCCCCAGGACCAGGACCAATGCACGCGCGCGCGCACACACACACACACACACACACACAAATTAGATAATTAAGTCTAACTTCCAGAGATATGAATTCAACTGATTTGGTCTTCACTCACACAATGGCATTTTTCTCTGAAAAATAAGATTCTCAGGAAATTCTCATGTGTCATCAGAGTTGAAAAACAATTCTCATATTGTTCATTATTAAATTGGAAAACCATTCATCATTAAATGATTCATTTATGAATTGTATTTATGTAATGTGAAGAAAATTGGTTTTGCCAAGAAAATTGTAAAACATGAATATACAGTTCATGGACTTTGTAAAGGAGCAGCATATATAATAATGAATGTATTCACAAAGTTATTGTCTATAGAGTATAATAAATAAAACATTTAGTATCTAGAAAAGAAACAAGAAGAATAACTTCTGGCTAAAACCCAGAGGAAGGAATAGAAGCACCTACTGGAAGGTTGGAACAGAATATATAAGGAAAGGTCTGGTGCTGATGGTTCACACTCTAATTTTACCTACTTAGGAGGCTAGGCACTGAGGAGCATGGTTTGCAGTCAGCCCAGGCAGAAATCTCCATGAGACTCTTATTGCCAATTACCCAATAAAAAGGGTAGATCAAGAACTAGAGTTCCAGCTTGAGCAAAAGAGCCAAGTGAGAGCATGAGGTCTTGAATTCAATCCCCACTCCTATCAAAAATAAGTGAATAACTAAATAAATAATTAAAATGTATAGACATAAGGAAGGAAGTAAAATCAGAAAGTGTAAAAGCAAAACCAAAATGTAAGTGGGTTTGGAGAAAGAACACACAACATAAAATATTAGTCAATTTTTTATTAATTCTTGTAACCTTCCACTACTCTATCAGATACCATATCTAGGGTTTTGGCCATATTAAAACTAAATATCCAATACAATCTTCTTATTTAATTTCCATTCCATGAAAAAATTTAAAGATGAATTATTATATTTAGTGTGTATTCTTTACATTTATTTTTTTCTGATAGATATATTTTACATGATAGAAATTTACCTTTAAATGGCATTTCAAAGATAGAAACATAGACAGAACAATTAAATACAAAAACAAAGCAAAATCTTTATTCTTTTGGCTTGATTGTAATGTGGTTTACCGTTCTTTATGGTAATAGCATTTTCCTGCATGCATGTCACCAACACACTACAAGTCAGTAGCTTGAATATAAGGAATCTATGTTGAATGTTGCTTGTGAAACACAAAATGTTTTGCGGTAACTGGTAATAGACTTTCGCTACCTGATTTTGTGAAAAAAAAAAAAAGCTTGGATTCCATACCATATGTGATACAGTCCTTGTGCCACATGGGTTGGTGAGATTATATCTATTTGTGTAAACAAACATTGGAACTGACTGATGATAACTGAGAAGAAAACGACTAGGTGAAAACATCAGATTCAAGCAATGCCGAGAATATCAACTTGTCTTAAGCCTCTTTCAATGATAAGGCATTACTATTTGAAAGCAAATACACATTAGAGACTCAGAGAACAGCTTCTCCTTGAAATGTGTGCAAGTGTACAGTACTAATACAAAAGCAGAATCCTACACTGCGTCTTAGTCCTTGTTTCTTATTTTGTGAAGTGCTTTAATTTAAAAGTGCTGGGAACAGAAACTCACAATAGTGACTGTGACAACCTGAAGATACTTTTAATTTCTCATTTTATGTACAAAAGGCTGAAAAATAAAATAAAATGAACTTTTTTTTACAATATTTATATTTTCTTAGAAAACTCTAACCATATATTTTCAACAGATCTAAGCAGCTTGCAACATGTTTGTAGAGTCAGGCTTTCACCACAGAGTGTTCAATGAAGATTGGAAGAATAGAAGCAAGAAACTCTTCATTGTGTGCTGCAACCTATTGCTTAACGACATGAAGAATGAGGTTTTGATAGAACAATTTGCTTTACTTCACCACTGACATATGGCTTCCCATATTGGACTTCTGGACAGTGGAAAAAAAATAAGATACAGCAGCAGCATTGGCAAGATCAACATGCAGCAGTGACAGCTTCAAAGTATAATGGAACCAATGACATCATATTACCTGTTGAAAGCTTGCAAACTATATTTAAGGTGGTACATATTTGATGCAATAAATACTGTGCTTAAATCATCATTTTTGTTTGCTCAAACATGCACCACTGGGTAAAATTACTATTTACAAAGCAGACTTGTTTTTTTTTTTAATTGACATATACTTATGTCAACCTTACCAAGAGCAGAAGATGGCTAAACAGTACTGCAGGAAAAAGCAGAATCAACTTTATAAAGTAGAGGTGGGGATACTTTTTGGCCAATTCACTTCTCTTAGAAAGGACTGATAGCTATTTTTTTAAATTTTATGTCAAAGGACACTTATCAAAAATGTTATAGTCATGCTGCCAGGACTCAAATGACTGTGTGATGGGAATGTGTGTATCTGTGTGCATGTGTGTATACATGTATATGTCTATACACGCACGTATACATATATACATATATACATGTTACATATAATGGTGTATGTAAAAATAAAACCACTCTTTAATGTTTGTGATTCTATGGAACATTTACAGGCACATTAAAATTTTTCTGGATGAAAGACTTTAAAAATATGAAAAGCTATTTAAGCACCTCAAAAATCTAAAAACATCCTGAAACAAGAAGTAAACTCTTTCGGTTTGTTATGTGATTTTTTTTTCTTTTTATATACGTGAATGAGAATTGCAGCATGCCTCCCTTGAAAATATACCCAGTTATACAATAGAGAAATGTAGAATTCCCTCCCTTTACACCCTCTCCCTAAACATTAACCCATTTACAAAAATAGTCACATATAAGAGAGTAAACAACCTGTGAATTAAAAGAAAAGGTGATAGCTTCACAGCACAGATTTCTGTAAAAACAAAGACAGGTGTGGGAGTCAAAACATACACAGCAGTGACATTTACTATTATTAAGTGTCACGTGTTGAATTTACATAAAAATTTAACTTCCCTCCCCCGCCTTTCCACTGGCTCCTGTATTCTGAGTAGCCACTCCTCTCTGCTCTCCAGCAGCTTCAGCTGGTTCCGCAAACAGAAACCTCCTACTGGTGCTGCTTCTCTGGTTTCTTGAGTTCCAGTTTCTGACCAGGGGTCCCTGTCTTGTTATAGGCACTGACCTTAAGTATACATTTGTAAAAACAGTCAGTTTGGCATAGACCTCCTGTGGGAGTCCTGTTGACACAAATACATCATCATCACAGGCTGTAAACAATTGATCACAAAATGGGATATCCTTTGTTTTT